TTTTCGTTTCAATCAGATTTTAAAATACCACACGTTCTTTTTTCTGTTGTTGTTTAAGGGTCCGTTGTTATGTCATCAGAGAAGAGGGTGATTTTGTTTATGTTAATCACCTGCCTTGTATTGATCAGTTTGCAAAAATTTGGAGGAAACTTGATGCTTTTAATGATCACATGAATGCAAAACTACTCACAATGCTACCGAGAAGATTAATATTCATATGTTACTCTTCTTTCAGTCTCAACATGCAAAGAAATTTACGAAAGGAATATGTAAGTAAAATAGCTCAATGACAATATCAGAAATAGGTAAGAACGAGATAAGCCATCAGGGCCGGGTTGTTCAAAGCTGTGTTAAGATAACCCAGGGTTAGTGTGAAATTTGATTTCAGATCTGAAAGCTCTGAAAGAAAATTCAGCTTAATTCCATTTGTCTACAATTTGATGATTGAATGTCCTAAAAAGAACTAGGAAAATTATCCCAAAATGGCTTTTGATTAGAGAAATTTAGAAACCTGGATTAAAATTTATTCCTGGGTTAGAGCTAATCGGCCTTTGAACAACTGGGCCCTGTAGATGTTTAACAAGTGAGAATCAGAGTTTCATTTTCATTGAATTAAGTTGAGAGGAACTCTCTTTGAGAATAGTTACATTGCGGAACCATCTCATTAATGCTGTTGAATACTTAGTCAAAGTTTCACTGCTGGGATGATACTATTGCCAGCTTCAAAATTCTAACTTTACACATATGTTGTTGTTAATTGATAGTCATATTAAATTGTGTCTTACAGGCTTTCTGAATAATTCTGGTAAAGAAGGACACAAGAACCTTTAAAGGTACTGTTAGGAGGAATGCAATCAGTGAACTTCTAGCTTGGAAAATCACTGTTATGAATTTATCCTTTAAAATTTGACCACCTGCCATTTGACATTGATACCATATATATGTAAGCTGGTGTCATTCAATTAACAAACAAAATGAAAAGAAAATATCTGCAGAAGGGTAGATTTGTATAATTATTGAGATGGTCATGTAGTTATATTTTAAGCCTTCAATTGATTGATGTTTAGGTATCCTCTCCTGACAATATGGATGGATACAATATCTTAAAATGTTTTCTCTTGTTAATTGGTAGAGCTTCTGACCTCCTTTGGGAGTCATTACACCCCAACTCCAAAGGCTGTAGAGGTTGAGCATGTTTTTGCTGTGAAGGAGTGGATGTCTCCCTTTTCAACTGTGCTCCACAACATCTCAAATCGTCATGCTTTTAAATTTACAAAAGCTCCTTCAGGAAAAGTTGTTATGCAGTACAAGAACTGGGGGAGTGACAAAAGGGAAAACTGGAAACCAGTAAACCCTGTTCCAGAACAGTGGTTAACTGTAGTGAAAGTAAGTGGAAATATCTGCTGTGCAACGGAGAATGAAGAATTTAAACAAAAAATATCAACAATACTTTCCATTAATAATTATACTCTGTTCATACACTGAAGATATTACCTGTTTTGCTCAGTTGGAGTGTGATGATCTTACATTTTAATTCTTAGCATTATACAAGACCAATGATAATAATATTAATAACAATGACAAGCACTATTTGAAAAATCGTAAACTGATCTCGTTTACAGCTTGATGGTATTACTGCAAGTTACTAATTAGAAGCTTATTTATAGTTGAGGTCAATTCATTCTCTACTGTCTGATTCATGTCCTTCAAATATGAAATTTCTTAGAATAAGTGTTTTTGCTACAGTTTTTTTTAAGCCTGCTTTTCATTATTTATGTCAGGCTGATGCAGAAATAAATGTAGATGTCCCCCCAGATTATGTTGCTTCAGATACAGGGAAGCTTGAGCTTCAATGGCTCAGATCAGAAATTGAAAAGTATTTCAGATCAAGATTGTTTCTGTAACAACATAAAGAGGATTGGGCATCAGTACTTGTGAACCCCGAAGATACCAGATGGCATCCAACAGAAAGGACAGTTACTTGGCCATTGAAAGAAATCATTACAAACAAGGAAAGAGTTAAAGGAAGACAAAAACAAGTGGAGGCTGCTGGGAATAGTCTGGGTTTTCTGGGGCAAAAACCTGAAGGTGTCCCTGAGGATGTGGATACATGCATGATATGGTCAGAACTCAAGTTGCTCCTCTGAGAGGTGATTTATGCTCAAAATTAAGACATACAATGTATGCTCAACTCAAGCTTCCTACTTATGCAAACTTAGCTATTTTGGCTAAAGTGTATGTACGTGCCCACCAAACCTTTCCATTGTGTGTTTTATTCATGTAGTGTCAGCCACAGCTGAATTTTCCTTTACTTGTGACCACACACACACTTGCCTATCAAAAGGCTTTCACATAATTGTCCTTTGAATTAAATAAAGTTGTGTAGATGACTTGACACAATTTATAATTCGTTTACAATTGCAGATGTACAGTGGAGCTTATAGAAGGCAGACGGCTGTGGTCACCGAGGTAGATAACTTTGAAGGAGTACTGCCTGAGGTAGCATAATTTGTTGCAGTTAATCTTGACGGAAACTACAAACCTCCCCTGATCTGGTAAACTGAAATTTCCATAGATCTACAAATGTCGAACAATTTGCATGGTAAAATGCAAGATCCTTGGTAATATTTGATCTCAGACATGTGCATGGAGATTTCCATAGATCTTCCAGAAACGTGGTTGGTTTCGTGATAAACCTTAAAATGAATTGTTTTCACTAAATCCTTTATTTCCTTCATCTTTTTCTCTTCTTTTTCTTCTTTTTCCTCTTTTTTGTCTAAATGCAACAACCTACTGCACCTTCTTATATAGTTCCTTACAATCTTTCTAGAAGATTATCAGATTTACAACACGACTATTTTTAGTAACATTACATCATAGAATTTTCCAGAATTTATGGTAAACAACTCGAGTTTCTATAAATAGACGTCACGTACTCATGTCGACACCACTAGAACTTTCTCAAAGGACTAATCAAGAATGTTCTGGAAATCATAGGATAATCGATAAACGTGCCAAATAACATGTCTTCTGTCCATCCTTCCCTTCCTCAATGGGCCATAGGTTCATCGACTGTAGAACTCTGCATCCTTATCCATCATCTGTCAGTCATCTGTTTTGCACTCCAGAGGACATAACTTTGATATGGGCCTTTCAAAGATCTTCTGACCAATTCTAACTTTGGCAACTCTCATTTGTCCATCTTTTCCGGGAATCGTCTCAGCTATTCTGCCCAAAGGCCATTGTCCTCGTGGCGTATCCGGAGATATTACCAGTACTATATCACCAACTTTTAAGTCTTTGCCGTGTTTGAACCACTTTTTCCTGGCATTCAACTTCGGCAACCATTCTCGCATCCATCGATTCCAAAAGTGGTGAATTAGTTCTTGAATGCGTCTCCATCTTTTACGAAGATTGAAATCTGTCTCGTCCACGGATTCTGGAGCGAACTTTCCACTGATCTGTAAAGGTGGTTATTAGCTCCTCGTCTGTTACATCAGCATTTCCTAATATACCATATATTGCTTTCTTAGCTGTCTTGATCATCATCTCATGTACGCCCCCCCAAAGTGAGGGGCTAGAGGAGGGTTACTCCTCTATTAGCAGTTGAACTTGCAATCTTGTCTTTGTCTAGTTTCTCTATTAGCTCTCGCAGTTCTAGATCAGCTCCCACGAAATTGTTTCCATTATCAGAGATCATTTCTTCTGGCAGTCCTCGCCGACTTGCCATTCGACAAAACGCATTCAAAAACGAATCAGTGTCGAGACCATATGCAATCTCTAGATGTAAAGCTCTCGAAGTTAAACATGTGAACAGGCAAAGGTATCGTTTGGCCCTACGCTTTCCTCTTCCTTGGATCATCATAAATGGGCCTCCAAAATCCACTGCTGTGCGAGAGAAAGCACGAGGTGGCATCTTCAACCTGATCTTTGGCAGAGGTGCCATAACCTGCTGAGCTGCCTTTGCCTTTCTTCTTCGACACTCATAACATTCTCCTTTGCATTCTCTAATTTCTTCTCGACGTTGCATTAGCCAGAAACGCGACGAAAGCATTGCCAACGTTTGGTGTGTCCCTGATGGGTGATTTCCTTGTTGATGATACCACCTTACTATCAGTTTTGTTACCCACTCTTTTCTTGGCAATATTATGGGATACTTGACATCGTATGGTAAGTATTCGGCATTCTCTAATCGACCATCGGATCTCACTACGCCGTCTTCGTCCAGTCTTGGCTTTAATGTAAGCAATTTACTGCTCATGGGAAGTGGTTTTCCAGAGGATAGCGCTGAACACTCTTCTTTAAACAACCTCTGTGCGGCTTTTATGATTCTGATCTCAGCATCTTGGATTTCCTCGACAGTCAGCTCACCCCTTGTTCGTCTACCATTTGGAAGTAAGCAGTTTTTCAAGAAGCGGTAAATCCTCGCTTGGATTCTGGTTAGTCGCAACCAACTCGAAAAACGTTTTGGCTCTAAGCGCGATTCACCGTCTCCTTCGATTGTTACCATCATTCTGTCTCTTCCATCGCTGGGGTCTAGCTGGCACTTGTTGCTCTTCCTGACCTCCGTATCAGATGCCCTGACAGTTGTGAGCTTGTTTATCGGCCATTCTGATGGTTTCTCCTTCAGGTAACTTGGTCCTTCCCACCATGAATTCTTCTCAGCAAGTTCTGGGACTGTCAGCCCTCTCGTAACAAAATCTGCCGGAATCTCATTGGTTGGTACGTATCTCCATTGGTTAGGATTACTTGATGATTGGATCTCTGATTCGGTCTGCTACAAATGACTTGAAAACTCTACTTGGTCGGTGTATCCACCACAGCACGTTCATACTGTCTGACCAATACGTGGTTATGCTTGGATCAATGTCTAGTGCCCTTGCTATCAACACACTCAATCTCAAACCCAACACCGTGCCCATCAACTCCAGTCGTMCTATACTCATGGCTGTCAGAGGTGCGACCTTTGATTTAGAAGCGACCATTCGTACAGCAACCATCCCGCTTTTGTACTCGCTTCTTAGGTACACCACTGCTCCATACCCCGGCGTTGAAGCATCAGCAAATGAATGTAAACTTGTTGAAATCAGTCCACCAAAGTTAGGTTGTAGGCATCGGGGAACTTGTACGCACTGTAGAGAATTGAGCTCTTGGAACCATTGTCTTGCCTTCTTTGCTTGATCCTCTTTCATTGGTTCATCCCAGTCTATCCCAGTGATCCACATTTCTTGGAGAATGATTTTGGCACGAACAATGTATGGTGCCAGAAAACCTTAAGGATCAAAGAGTGTTGCGATACTCTTGAGAAAACTACGCTTTGTAAGTTGTAATTCCTTCCCCGGTGGGTGTGCCTTGTAGGTAAACAAGTCTTCCTCAGGAACCCAAAGTATCCTAAGCGTCTTTAGCGATGCTAGATGGCCCTGGTCTTAAGTTACCTCAGAAGCCCTGTCGTCGACTGGTATATCCTCCAGCACCTTCCGTGAATTCGATAGCCATTTTCTCTCGTGCATTCCGGCTCTTCCCCACAGCTCCGATAACTGCTTATATAGCTCTATTCCTTTTTGATCATCTGAAGTAGAGTCCATGCTATTGTCCATGTATGTTGACTTCAAAATCGTTTCTGCTGCCATTGGAAATTCTTCTTTATGCTTCTGTGCATGCTCTTGAGTGACAAACTGAGCTTGGAATGGTGACGAATTCACTCCAAAAACTACTCTATTAAACTCATACACGTCCGGCGTCCTGGTCTGATCCAACGATCTCCACAAGAATCTATGAAAGGGTCTGTCTTCTGGTGCTAGGCTTATTCGAAAGTACATTTCTGCAATGTCACACACCAATGCTACGGGGTTCTTGCAAAATCGTAGTAAAACACTGAAAAGTTCACGTTGCAACTTGGGTCCTTGGTGTATGACGTCGTTCAGAGAAATCCCGTCACTCAGTGCACACATCAAACACGATTCTTGTTTTTGTTGTTTCTTTATCTGGCCTTATGACAGCGAAGTGGGGCAAATACCATGATTCGCTGGGTTTTTTCTCCGTCTCTAAAACCTTTCTTATATACCCCTTGGCTTCGTACTGATTAATTAGGTCTGAATAGCACTTTCCAATTTCTGGATATCTACATAAACGTTTCTCTGTGTTCTGCAACCGTCTTAGCGCTGTTTTGTAGTTGTCTGGCATGAAGGGCTTTTCTTCCTTCCAGGGTACTCCAACCTCGTATCATCCATCCTCAAACTTTATTGTCTTCTTAAGTGCTTCAAGTGCGACTTTGTCTTCTGGCTTTAGTGTCTTGGTCTTCACCTGTAATCCGCCATCTTCTATCTCCCAGAACTTTAGAATAGCGTTACCCAACTCAACACTTGAGTCCTGGTACACGGAGTGAGTACATATGAAGTTTGTCCGGTAATTCTGTTCCAGACACAGACTGGGGTGCCCGATACATGTCCACCCTAAAGGTGTCAGTCTTGCCACTGGCTTGCCTGGTCTACCTCTTACATCTTTGATGGAATAGTGTAGGTCTGCATAATCGATACCGATCAGGATATCAACAATCGGACGTGGCCTCAGATAAGGGAAGTTTATATCCTTAAGGTGGTTCCAGTTCTTTGCGTACCTGGCCCAATTAACCGCTTTCATGTTGCCTGTGACTCTGTTTGCTGTAAACGCAGTAATCCTCATGCTTATTCTACCATCTAAGCTCTCTATCTCACACTCTACTGGCATCGTCTCGAAAGTATCTTCCTGGCCATTAAGAAAGTTGACCGTCACTTTACGACTCTCGCCCTGTAGTCCTAACTCAGCAGGGACATCGCTATTTACATATGTCTTGCTACTGGCATCGTCCAGCAGTGCATTTACGACTAGCTTCCGCCCTCCACTCTTTAGTATCACGGGTACTGTTCTCAACACAATGTATTCCTCCTTGACGTTTTCTTTCGCATGTACCGTGGTCGTGAGTGATCTCTCGGATCTCTGCTGCCTCCCCTCTGTGGTTGGTCCTTGTGCACCTTGCTTTGCCTCTGGGTTGTCATTGGCCTTTTGACCACTGGTACTCTTCTCCTTATCCGACTCTCTCCTTTTAGCCTCATGCAACAGTCTGTTATGTGTATCTATACATCCATTCAGGCCACAGATTCTTGACCTTGTACATGACTGACCGACGTGGTTGGCTCCTAAACATCTGTAACATAAGCTGTGTTGCTTTGCCGTTTCCCATCTTTCAGGTACGGTCATCTCCTTAAATTTATTACACAGCCAAACTGGATGCCCTTCTCCGCAGACTTTGCATGCTCGATTTCTGTCTCTTTGTTGACACCTAGGGCTGCTTTGTTGTCTTGGCTGGCCAAAGTATGTCTGATCTTTCCGCTGCATGCCAGATGAGCTTCTTGATACTCCACGTAGTGTTTCAGTTGCTATGGTCCGGAACTCCGCCTCTTGTATCACCCACTCTTGTAAAGTTTCTACACATTCTGTTTTGTTTCTTTCATACACCCATCTATGGTACTGTGCCAACATCTGCTCTGTCATTTTCTTCTGCAGCTTAGCGTATAGTGACCCATTACCCAATTCCTCATATCGCCTTCCTTCAGGTTGACGACTGTGATATCCAGAATGTCTGCAAATCTCTCGATATCTTTTGGGTGTCCCGGCCTTACTGGTTAAAAGTTATCAAGTTCTTCAAGATGCATCGCAATCTGCCTTCTTCTCCCACCGTATTTCCTCTCCAGGCTGCTCTTTGCTGCTTCGTAAGCGGACGCTGAGTGACCCAGGTTTTCTATTGCCCTGAGCGCTTCTCCTGACAAATATTGCCTAAGCTGGAGTAGCTTATATTCTGGAGTAGCTGGTGCCTTGTCAATGCATGCCTCGAAGGCTGCTTTCCAATTCTCGTAGTTGGTTTTGTCTCCATTGAACACAGGGATCTATACTCTTTTTAGCTGTTTCCAAAGGTCTTGACCAATTTCCATTGCTGGTGACACTTTTCCCTTCGCGGTCTCCGCCTTTTCTTGACCCTTTGATCTTTAACCCGCCTTGGTTCTCTATCTTCTTCCTTGGCTTTTGTTCGCCTTCCTCAAAATCACTTTAGTCCACCACACCGACATAGTCCTCTTCCAGCCCAAGCTCCTCAATCTCTTTTTCCATCTTGACTTGTATTCTTTTAACTTCTTCTTTAACATTGACGAGTTGGTCTCTTTTTTTGCCGTGATCGAGCTTCAAGTTCTCCCACTTTCTTAGCATATTCTTCTTCTTCTTTTCTCTTTTCTGACTGTATAGCTTCTTCTTTCAATATGCTTGCTTCCACTTGCTTCGCTTTCTTCTTTACTTTGACCATTTCCTCTTGAGCTTGTCTAACCTTTTGTGAAGTATCCGACGCGATACTTGATAATTCGTCTTTTCTGGAGTCCAGGTAGTCTTGTGTCCTATTCTGAGCATCCGTGAACTCTTCTGCGATTCTCTCTATTTCTTGACTTAACTTTCTTACATTTGTGGTATCTTGTCTTTTCTCGTACGCTGTGGATAAGGCCTCTAAATCCCCCATTACTTTGTCTAGTTGCTTGTCCAGCTTTTCTCGTGCCTCCCTTATTTGAATGCGACTGGGTAAGTCTTCTTCCAGTAATTGTAGAAGTTCATGTCTTGCTCTCGTGAAAGCCACTGTGCTCCTTCACTTCGATTGCTTTTGCTTCTCTATTTTCTTCGTTAGACCTTCCTCGACTTGAGGGCTCTCGTTATCATCTTTGTCCTCGCTGTAGAATGCTCCCTTTCTCTTGCTCCTTTTTTTACCCATCGATGCGACTTGAGTTTTTGCTCGCCTTCTTCTTGGAACCTCGCTCTACTACCCACCTGGTTTCTTGATAAACCTTAAAATGAATTGTTTTTACTAACTCCTTTATTTCCTTTATCTTTTTCTCTTTTTCTTCTTTTTCCTCTTTTTCGTCTAAACGCAACAACCTACTGCACCTTCTTATATAGTTCCTTACAATCTTTCTAGAAGATTATACAGATCTACAACACGACTATTTTTAGTAACATTACATCATAGAATTTTCCAGAATTTACGGCAAACAACTCGAGTTTCTATGAATAGACGTCACGTACTCATGTCGACACCACTAGAACTTTCCCAAAGGGACTAATTAAGAATGTTCTGGAAATCATAGGATGATCGATAAACGTGCCAAATAACACGTCTTCTGTCCAGTGGTAAAATTTCCGTAGATCTTCCAGTAGAATGTTAAAATATAACATTGTCAATTATTATCGATTCACACTTGTGAATGGAAATTTCAGTCCATAGATCTTCCAGTAGAATGGTAAAATAGTTATAAGATTTTCAGTTATAATCAATTCACACTTGTGTATGGAAATTTCCATAGATTCTCCATCTACATGGTAAAATGTAAGATCTTCAGTCATAGCTGATCCACACAATGTGCATGCAGGTAATTACCTTCAAGGCCTTTTCATTAACACGGCAAAATGTAAAGAATGTGTTTGTTGTAGTCAATCCAGAAGTGCATGGAAATTTCCATAGATCTTCCCTCAACATGGTAAAATTTAAGATGTTCAGCTATAATCGATCCACATAATTTGCATGGAAATTTCCATGGATATTCCAGCAACATTGCCCAAATGAAAGAATTTTCAGTCATGATCAATCCAGACAATTGTGCATGGAAATTTCCAAAGAATTGCTTAAGTGACATGGTATAATGTAACATGATTTTTCAATTCCTTTTGGATTATCATCTCTATGGTAATGTAAAAAAGATCCTCAGAAAAATCGCTGTCAGATATGCCATATCCTACTTGGTATATCCAAAACAGGTATGTATAAATTTCATTAAATAGTTCTCAAAAGAAATTCTTTCTCTGTTGTAAAAGTTGTTGAAATCAATTCAACTGTGGAGTGGTTTTTATAGACTATTAAACTTTTTTTCTTCAATATAATTGAGTGTCCTGGTCAGAAAGATACATCGTAGAGTACATCTTACCCAACACTGAAGTGGCAAAGAAGCGTCTCTTTGGTTGTAGTTTTTACCAACTTTTCTTTACTTCAGAAAATCTGCACTTAAAAAACTATGTGTTGTCAATTTCTTACCTCAAAATCCTCTGCTTCCTCCGCCATGATTCTCACGCGCACGAGGGAATTCCCCGTTCCAGGTTTCTCTCATAGACTCATTCCAAGCCCCTGTAGCTCGAAGAAAATTTTATTTCTGTCTGCACA